TTCTTGCTCATCTTCAAGAAAAATATCTATATATAGTAACAGTTGCATTATGCAAAGCCTGCGACTGATACTTTCTGAAGGGCAAAAATAAACACCTTCGCCATAGTCTTTTGTGCAAATAACAAACTTTCTCTTGTTACAGCGGAGGCGCTTTATAATTGAATTAAAGTAGTGGGTCAAGCAAAGGCTGATTTCAAAAAAAATTGATCCTTCAAAATGGTTACCTGCCTTTATCTTAATATGAAACCTTGGCGAAAATGTTACCATGGCCGCTCGTATGCGCTACCTCATACCTTTGATACTATAAAGAGAGAGCTTCGAAAGTGAACGTTATTTGAATATCTGCCACCCACAAAAAGTGAAAGTTGTTCCGGGAAAACGGTGAAAAAAGAAAGATGCAAAACAAAAAAACTAAAAACTATAAAAATTGGATGAAAACGCTGCAATGAGTTTGAGATTTTTCACGCGGCATTTTAAACTGCAGGGTTTTCCAGAACAGGCAATTCACAACACGAGGAAAACGATGCTTTGTAAAAAGTACTTACGATCATATCTACCAGGTAAGTATACCTGTACTCATACTGCATTCTTTCTCTCTCCTAATAAGTTCTTAGTCAGTGTTAGTCGAATGCTGCAATAATCTAAATTTCCTATACAGATTGTTTAGATAGCTTCGCGCCGACGCTCGCCAGATGCCACTAGATAAGGGGGGAGCTGCCTGGAAACAGTAAGGAACGTACGACGACCAAGCCACCTCGTCTTTTGGCTCAGATCTCTTTATTCTTACGTTTTGTTGATATTTGTTTCCCGGGATATTGACATTGATGTTTTCTTTATCTTTTTCTTTATTATTTCACCATAATCGAAGAAATTAGCCTTGCGACGTTGTCTGCATTATGAATAGGAGCAAGATCTATCGAATGCACGGGAAAACCGCTCGAAAGCAACTAAATTGAAGAAAAACCATGAAATTTTCGAAAACACGGTTTTTGCTAGATTTCTCGTTCAAATCGAAAAAATTGGGTTATACGTCATCATCAGCGTGAAAGTAGAGGCCAAGAGCTTCAATATCAGGTAGCGCGCAACGCGCGGAGACGCAGGCGAGCAGAGGAGGAAGACTAGAGCCTACGGGATTTGGCTCTGGTCGTGGATTTGTGCGGGTCTCAATGAAACCCTGCAACATTATATATCACTCTGATCGTCATGACGCGACAAAAAGCACTGACAACGTTGCAAGAGTTAAAAACACTACTCAAAGAGAAGATAAACCAGCATTCCGTGCGCTACTCTTTGCGCAAGAGTTAATCGCCGTTTGTTTTTATTGAATTACAAAAACTCTCGCGAGTTTTTGAAACACAGTCTAAGAAGAAATCATTTGAGAAACGTTGTCCTGAATTCCATGGAAATTTTTATAAAAACCTCGTTTTTCGCCCAGAAAATTTTCGCAGATGCGGTAGGTGGAGGAATTTCTTTGACATTCTTCACTTTGGGGCCAGCATCTGGCTGACCCCTTTCACCTGAGATTCAGACTGGAATCAAGGCATAACGGCAGAATTAAGCAGCTGTTACGATTTTAAAAGGAAAGCCAGCTGCTCTTTTTCTCAGAAGACATTCATGAAGACTGCAAGAGAGCATCGAAGCAACAGTGTTTTGTTGAACAAACGCATACTTGAGACCTTCTGCGCACCCATAGTGGCGTTGATAACGAAAAACATAATCAAAAACTAAAAGGATGTCTGATTTTTTGCATAATTAACATTGTATCAATGAATACACAATGTCGCAAGAAAAGTTGAGCAAGAGTAGAAAATCTGGACTGGTCAGTGATGGATGCATGTTTTCTGACAAGAATCGTATCATATCTCCTTTCACTAGAGAGAAGAATAATTGAGAAAAGAGCCGTTAAATTACTCGTTTTCTCAAGTTTTAAATCATATATAAAAATTCGAAAACGACCTTCTTGGTTTCAAAAGAGGCATGAGATATAATATTATTCAGAATTGGCCGATATTGCAGCTAGATAAAACTGCTCGTATCTCGCTTCACAGAAAAGCTAGAAAAAAGAGGCGGATTCCCCGTGTTCATAGCTATCGAATGGTGTATACAAAGTGTTGGTGCACAAAGCTTTCCCAGTCCAAAAAGGTCTTGCTCCGGCGTACCATGCAAACCAAGAGCGGAGTGGAGCAATAACAGTAAATACCGCCGCCTCATATTTGCTCAATAACCTATGTACCATTAGAAAGCTCATGAAACAGGAACTCGACGTAGACCGTCTCTTTTCTCTAGCTCCCCTTTACTCAGAGATACACGCCATTTTAGCTAAAAACATGTGCGTGAGGAAATTTTCATGCAAAGGGTGAATGAAGATGCCCAGTTGTCAACCTATTACAGAGCATAAATTCGCCAGCAAACGAAGGCCGTCTCTATTTTTCTAGCATTCTTCTATCTTTCAGAAATGGAGCGCAAAGTGATTGCATAAATTCACCTGATGCTGAAGTTAGATACAATTTCTTATATGTCAATTCACAGAAAAACTGGAAAGACTGTCTAGTCGATTCTGTATGTTCCAAGCTTTCGAATGGAACGTCGACTGATGAAACACAAAGCTTTCCTGAGTCAAAAAAAGTTTCTGTTGGATGGCGACCTTCGGTTCGTTTACATTCGGCAACCTTTCGAAACCTAAGCATTGAGAAAGTCTTCATAAGCTCTATCCACTTATTTTTCTTTTTTTCACTCCCTTTCCCGTTAAAAATGTAAGCTTGCGTCAGCATTCATCTTAGGGAACGGCCACAAGTCGCCGGCAACGGTTGACGAGGTTGCCGAAGTTGCCGGACTCTCAAGTGCCGCTTGCTTGGAGCCCGTTTGCTGAGATCCTCAAATTTCATAAGAAAATTGCATTTTATTTGACTTCATTGCATACGCGCCATTACTCTCATCCTTTTTACCATTTCCACCTCCATTAACATGCCGCTCCACACACTTGATGCACGTTTTTTAAATGTTTTATATGGAGATTTAAGATAGTTGCAGTGTGTGTTATAGCTATCCTCATCACATTGACTACTTTTCAGATTATGCCTTGCCCTTTTTCGTGTGATTCCAATTTGCGGCGTTGTGTATTGTAGTAGTATTTGTGCAAGTTTCATTGCAGAATCATCTCCTTCGTAAACTTCGCCGGTTACGAGGCTGTGAACTCTTCCTTTGTGGAAAGCCCAAGTACTACTGCGAAGTATTTTTTTACTTTTTGTATACATGTTTATTCAGAAATAGTCATTCATCCGAATGTACTTGAGCAAACTAGTACGGAGGTTAGTTGCTTCTTGTGATTCTTTGAAAGATTTCTGTTTTTTTAGATATTATTAAATAATACTCCGTAATGACATTGTTCTCCAGTCCATTGTTTTCAGAGAATGAAAGATGATAGTGAGATGCTAACTACGAGCTTCTACCACGACACAAGCGTTTTTCGAGCAACTCCGTCAGAAGCAGGTGCCCTTTCATTCATCCGTAACAAAGTAAGCTGCTTTACAAAGCAAGCTGCTTTTTGGTAGATCTTATTTTCTTTGTCAAGAAATTTCGATGAATGGAAATGTGGATGTAAATAATCTCCCCGCGGAGCGACAGCAAGTACGGTTTTGTGTTTTTCTAAAAGCTTTCTTTCCTTTCATTTTATATCTGTATTACTGTTAATAGTCTTCTTACCAGATCTTTGTTGGTGGTATCTTTTACCCCGTGCTCCTGGGCCGGTAGTAATCTATCCTACCTAGCGGCATCTCAAATGCCGCCAAGTTGACACACATTACGGAAAGTTGCCAACTCCGGCGTGAACTCGCAGACTGGCAAAAGCAGAGCGCCGCAAAACATACGCATCGCGCTCCCTCGAACTTGCATGCATCGACTTCGAACCACTAACCGATCGACCACACTTACGCTGCCCAAATTACGAAGCCTTTGATGAAGGTATGCCTGGATTTGCGGGCAGCCGCAAAACATCTGCACCACGCGCGTTCGAACTTGCATGCACCAACTTCGAGCCCGAACCAATCGACTACACGTACATGCTTTGCACATAGAAAACACCTCCATAACATTATGCTCTCGATGTGATGCCGCCCTACGCGTCATCTTGGTGGGAGGATTGCGCACATACCGCATCCCAGAAATGGGGTGGCTAATATTAGGGAGGAGCTGACCCGTTTATTGATTTAGGGTGTTATTGTTGTTGTTGTTGTTGTTGTTGTTTTGTTGCTAATAATTGATAACTATACAATAAATTAGTGCTGAAAGCAGCTGCCTTGAAGCTACAATAAACAAACCGTGAGAACAAGTTTTGTTTCATGCCAGCTCCGTGCCAGGTCCGCCGACATGCAAAAACGGGTCTGAGAGCCGAGTAATTCGTGCCAGCATCGTGCCAGCTCCGTGCCAGGGTTGGTACACCATGGGAAATCTTGCTCTGGGTTCCAAAGTCATAAAACAGAAGCCGTGTCTGTTGCAGAGAAAGTGTTTTGTAAATATTATCGTTGTCACTAACACTACAGTTAAAGTGTTCCTTTAGTTTTGCTGATTGGAACATACACATGTGTATAGGTAGCAAAAAGGCATTTCATTAGCTCTAATGTATCATTTCATTAGTTTCTGATATAACCACAAACACCACACATTTACAAATGTTCTTCAAACAATGAATGTTGAACAACCATAATCATAACGATATAAAATCAGAAAACTTTATCACAAGTTAACAAAAGTTTTTGAAACAATGAATATTGAACAACAATAGTCATAATGAGAAAACGAAAAAACTTTACCACACGTCAACTAACTTTTTGAAACAATGAATGAAACAATGAATTATCATGATCTTAGTGATACCAAATCAATCAGGATACTTCACCGCACGTTAACAAAAGTTCTTCAAACAATGAATGAAACAGTAAATTATCATAATCATAATGATACCGATCCTAATATAGAAGGGTCCCTTCCTTCATCACAAGCCATCACACTTGTAATGTAAGAGACTCTTCTATATTAGGATCGGTTTTGGTCGTCCTTTGTCCTGTGATGTGTACAGCTCCATTATTGGGTTGTATATTCACAATGATCTGGATCTTATCGAGAAGGGAGTCCACTTTAGTGAGTAGCGCATATTTTTTTTTTCGAGGTACAGCCTCTTTGCCTGCAAATATACTTTGAGTTGAAATATGCAGAGATGAAGGTATCGCATGTACCCGAATGTATCTAGTTTACACCTCTAGGAACGCCTCGCGAACTCCCGTCTTACGGCCCCGCTTTTTTGGTATTTCCTCACAATCAGTGTCACTGTCGCTCTCAGACTGAGAATATAAGATTAAAATATGTAGTGAAGCTAGTAATCGACTCACCGTGGACAATTGTTGAAGTAATTCCTGTGATCCTCCCGGGTTGGAGCATTCGGAGGGTGCTGCAACCTAGTTAGCCGTAAGTTTTGTTAGTTTGTGGGTAAGTTTTCACTTACGCCGACACAGCTTTCTGCGAGCCGGAGGCTGCCGAAGCTGACCTCTGGGCCGAGGGCTCTGGCGATTTTTTCATCCGCTTCGACATCGACCCGAGGACCTTTGCTAGGTCCTCCTCCAGGGCTTTGTTCACACCACCACCTGTGGCCTTGCGATAACTGCAAGGAGACTTCTGTGATACTGGATATGTCCAAGAAGAATAGCAATTTACTTTTTTTCTTGCATGAGTAAAGCCCTCACACTGCCCTTTTTGTTTCGCCAAATCCTCTTGATTTAATCTACAGAAATCCGTGATTCAGCCAATCGGCTGACAGTCCACCTTCGAATTAAATTCCGGAATAAATGAAAAGACAACAACAAAATTGAATACAGATTGTGAGCCAATATGCTCTGGCCCAATTCAGCATGGAAAAAAATAACCGCATTTACAAGATTTTCGAAATTTCCGTCTACCTTTCTACCTTCTGCTATTTTGATGCGATGAGGATAACAACAGTCTGATAAGTTATAATTACTTTTCTTGAAGATTTTTCATTTCTTTCCCTTTTCATCAAATTGCCCTCCTTCCTAGCTGTTGAGTTTTGGGGGGGGAAGGAGCTTCTATCTTATTCTTTCTTATCTTATCTTATCTTATTTTTTCCGTCCAAGGATAGGAAATGAAAGCGTTTTCTTCATTTATTTTTTGTTTATCTGCGAGCATTTCTATTGCTTGGCATTGTTTTTCTATGTTACTTTTCAGTTTTTAATTGTTTTTTCGTGGTTTATTTTCTAGTCTGGCCTCAGTCTGGCTTTACACATATTCTTTCGTAAGGTCAAGATTTCGTAATCTGATATCCGCTCTCTTGCATACTAGAAGATTGGCTTCTACTCTTTTTATGCTGTTCTCATTCTCACTCTGCCCTTTAGAGATGAAAAATTTGGAAGTCTAGCACTTATTTAAATGAAAATATGCTTCTTTGCGTGGCCTCTATTCTCACAGCGTTTACACGTGGCGAGGCACGGAAGTAATTCGAGAATTTACGAGAAATCAGAGCTGTAGAACAAAATAAAATGCAGTTCATCAAATTTGCATTTTGCAGAGAGGCATTTGTCCTTCGAGCTGCCAGCTGAATTTTGTATCAAAGGATTTTGTGTTTGGTAAGCTTGAAGCTGGAAAGCTCCAAAGTTCCAAAATTGACTAAAAAATTAATTGGAGCTCAGAAGCATTGCCGCAAAGCTAAACTATTTATCCCCAGAAACTTCTTCACCGGAAACGGCTCCGTTTGTACAGAGATCGCACGTATATTTTCGAAAAGCTATCTGACGTCGAGTTTCGCAAGGAATCTCGTTTTAGTGGTCCGGTCTTCTACGAACTTTACGAGTTGCTCAGAGGAGATTAGCGCATCCAACGGGAGAAAAGTCTCTGACGGTTCTCAACAAGTAGCTGTGTGTGTATGTGTGTGTATGTGTGTGTGTATGTATGTGTGTGTATGTGTGTGTATGTGTGTGTATGTGTGTGTATGTGTGTGTATGTGTGTGTATGTGTGTGTATGTGTGTGGTGTGTGTGTGTGTGTGTGTGTGTGTGTGTGTGTGTGTGTGTGTGTTCAGTTGTTGGGGAGAAATGCCATGCAGGTCAATTCGGCTCGTCTTGCTGGGTGTTATCAAAGCACGGTTTCAAGGACTCATTAAGTTTCTGGATGCTGTTGTGAAGTTGGCGCCAAGATACATTAATTGACATTAAATAAATAAAATATAGGCCCTTAGCTGCAGAACAAGAAAAACTTGCGCGAAGAGTATGTAGGAAGTATAGGCTTCCCAACATTGTTAGGATGATTGATGGTATGCACGTTAGAATTGTGGCATCCAGAGAGAATTCAGTGGATTATATAACTACGAAGAGGTATTACTCAACAAATGTGGGAGCCATATGCAACGGGAAGTTTCTCTTCTAATGGGTAGCGCTTGGCCCGATTCCGCCCATGACAGCAGAGTCTCAAATCTTTGGTACACAAGAATCTTGGAGCGAAAAGGGAAAAGGGATGCCCTATGGGTTATTCAGCATACACTGCAGGATTTTTATCAAAGTTCTGAGACAGGCCAAAACAGCAGTAACGGAATATGTAATTGCCAACCCTAAACTTCTGTTGCAGGTACGACCCGGATACTGCCGCGAAGATAACAGTAGCCCGCGTGGTGCTGCGTAATATTGCGAATAAACGAAAGGAGCAGGTCTTCGAGGACGACGACGACTCGGATAGATGAAAGTGGCATAAGGGAAGAAAATCAAGAAAATCAATCAAACCACTACTTCCGGCCGTGCTCTCGTAAGGAAGATAATTGAAGAATTTTTTAATCCATCGTTTCATCACTCCTTGCTTTCCACATTTAGTCGTTGCTCTGACTTCCTAACACTGTAGACAGAGCAACATATTTTTTCCTTCTTGTTTTGCAGTGATTGTTCCAATATTCCACTGCGTAAGTATTCGTTCTGAACTTGTTTCTATTCCTTCCGATTACAGTTAAAGGACTCTTTTTCATCCTTGAAAATTTGTTTTGGAGAGACTTGTTCAGATGTGTGTAGTGAAAATTAGTATTTACCTTAAGGATTGTGTACTCAAGCATCTTTTTTGCGAGGACGGCTGTCGTTGATGTTTTGCGGCTTTTCACCCAAAGTTCCAAAGTCAGCAGAGTAACTGCTGCGGTGTTCTCGTCCCCATCAGCGGAAGGAAATAGGTTTATTAAAAAAATATTAGTTAGAAACACTGGTAATCTCCATTGTCGCGGTAGCTGCGACAAAGCGACTTTAAAATACCCTCAGATGGTAGGTTATGATAAGTGCTTGTATGCGCCAATTTTTTATGTGCCAATTTTTTTAAAGAAATGCACTGCGAACTGACGTATTTGGAAGGTGAAGAAAATTCGTGAAGCGGCAAAGAGGCACACACGCTTTTAATCGAGCAGTACAACTTGTTTTGAGGAAAATTCCAATAAGGTTATGAATAAAAGACGTTAAAGCTCACCGCTTGAGTTCAGAGAATACTGATTTTTTGAACCCCGTTATAAACGGTTTGATAGCCCGGAGCTCGTACTATGCATAGGAGTAATTTGAGCGTTTCCACTAGCTTGAAAGCACCATTGAAATCGAAAAGCGGAACAAACACAGTTCGGTTGGCTTTTAATTAAAAGTTTGGCATTTATCTGAAGTCCAATTACTCGTGTGTGAAAAGAAAGTGGTGGTTTGTGTTGAGTGCAAAAGAAGTTAGTAATCCGTTTTTAAAAAAAATCATGCTTGAAAGTTACTATATTCCACAAACAGTGGCGTACTCAGGATTTCCGCTCGGGGGGGGGGGGACAAAAAAATTTTCGAATGAAGGTGCGTGGCGTCAGCCACGCACTCCGAAAAAATTTTAGGGGTGCTTCTCAAAATTTTTGCAGGTCTCCAATCCCTAAAATCTGAAAAAAGGGGGCGTGGCGTCAGCCACGCCCCCGGAAAAATTTGTTTATAAGGCTAATTCAAATTTTTAAAAATTTTTAAAAATTATTCTAATTATTTACAAATATAAACAAGTCCATTGCACACCTTTATAACCCATATAAGTAACTTTTAAAAATTTCGCGACCCATTCTTGGGGGGGGGGCGCCCCCCCCTTCCCTCGGTACGCACTGTCCACAAAGTTATTTACTATTTGAAAACCCTGGAATTTACTGGGTTTGTCTACTTATGGAGGAATATACCCTTGGAAACGTTCTCCTCCCCGTCCCCTCTGGTCTGGCGTGCCACACCTCGCTTCAACCTGATGATAATGCAAAGAAAAGGATACGGCATAGGCCTTGGAATTCATTATTGAACAGAATGCTTGAAGCAGCGGCGATGGGACGGTTCCAAGAACACTAGATTTGGTTGCAACAAAAAAGAATAAGTTATTATCAAACAACAAAATAATTGTGAATGCAGTATGAGTGACGATGATGATTCTTATGGTGACGTTACCAATGGACAGTGACGATGATTCGTTAACATGTGTATGATGAAATCAGTTTATGGCTGTGGATTGCGAAATATCGCTTGATGCCATATTGATCCGGATTTCGTCACGAGCAGTGGATTTTACGGTAAGCTCTTCTTCCTTGAGTCGAGTAATAATGACGAATCTCCATCTTTTACCTATGTTTCTCGATCGGGGCCATTGTAGGTAGCGATGTAACTAGATGTACTGGAGGACTGCCGAAAAACACGTGTTGTGAAGCCTCCGCAAATAGATTTTGTGATATTATAAAGCCGAGCAAGAACGAAACTGCGGTTCTCATTTTCGGCCTAGGTGAGTTAAAATTGACTTCTAAAACACATAAAAGATGCCCGAGACCTCAGTGTCCGAAGATTGTGCTTCGTAAAAATCTCAAATCTGAGATTTTATAAGCTTTTGTGGAGATTGGGCGTCCATGGCGGTCGCATCGTCAGCGGTCAGCGATACTCTGCTGTTCTACTGCCAATTATGAGAGCCCTTCGACATAAGTGGCATGTGTTGATGTGAATGGCAGCGGATTCAATGGCAATTCTTAAGATTACAACATTTTCAAGCTGAGTTTTCAAAAACCATGACCGTTTAAAGTAAAGTTCTAGATATCCCACATTAACATAGCTGGACAAATTTGGATGAAGAGTGGAAGGAGGTGTAGTGGAAGAAGAAGAGCCATCAGAGAGGCTGGAGACAAGCTGCAATTTCCAAGTAAAGTTGATTATACTTAGTATAGAAGTTTCCATGATTCCCTTCGCGGCGGAAAATCTTATGCTTTGAATGGATAAATGAGTGAAACCGTATAAACGTCTCTGACAGCAGTCATGGCAAATGTATTCGGGACATCCACGAAAAAAAAAACAACAAGGGCAATGTCCACAAAAACGGACGTTCAACATCTGCTCTTTTCAGTGGTATTCACACGCAAGAAATGATGGCACAACTACTGTGGCGGCATGTTTCGGGCACCTCGAAGTCAAACCTGCTGTCCTACGCTTAGCTTTTTCGCAGGAGTAGATCTCCAAAGCTTCAAGAAGATATACATCATTCATGACTACTAAGCATGTAAAGAAAAACCTCGGACCACTCTAAGGACTATGCTGTCCGTCACTTGAAGAAAAACTTTTTGGCGAATGAAGGTAGTATATATTAAATGGAGCGCAACACTTGAATCTTACCCACAATTACATTTAATTTCCGGTCTCCTTTGAAGTGATATAGATTCACATATGCTGAGTACTGAGAGTAATCCAGACGACGGAGTTCGTCTCCTCAACATGAGCGATTATCTTAGAAAACGGTGCCCATCTGGTGTAAACGAAAACTGTAGGCAAGCATCCATAGAATTCCATCCAGTAATCATGACGGCTCTACAAATCGAACGGTCGGAAAAATATCTATGGTAGAGCTAGCGACGATACACTTAATATCACACTTCAAAAGCGGCGTTTACGGCTGAAGAGACCCGCAATAAAACACCAATTTTTTGACTATCGACTTTCTAAAAGGTTAGCATCGGAGTGGTGAAGGACATAGCCGATACGACAGAAACAAGGGTGAGTAAGATTCACCTCTATGTACCCTCGATAGTCTAGAAAAAGGGCGTTAGAAATGGAGGTGTTGGGATATATCTGACCTCATCACAAGTGAAGCCTGTTCATAAAAAATTAGAGAAAAGAAAAAGATGCAAACTAATGAAAAGCCCTCAAAAACCGAAAAAAACTCGCGGTGAGTTTGAAACCTTTCATTTAGCGACTTTTCAAAGAGCAGGTTTCGCTTCAAAACCAGGCAACCCACAACACAGGAAAACGAGGGCAAGCTAGTTTCTTCTTAGTGATTATTTCAAAAACAACAATGTATTGGAAGTGGTGATTATCAAGAGGAATAAAATCAAGAACTCATATAATCGCCGCGGGCAGGCGGCCATGCGATTTATGGACAGCGGGCATCGGAAAAATAGTTCGCTGCTTTCCGGCGGTCCGCTTGCAGATAGTGAAAATATAATGGTCAAATTTTACGAATTCGAGGACAACTGCGGCTTTTTCATAGATTAGTTGCGGCTCAGTGGCCGCATTCTCGCGGATTTCCGCGAGGAATGCATGTTTGTGGGCCGCACGGTCCTTTGTGAAAAACGCACAGCCCGCAGGTACCTGTCGCTGGGAGAAAGTAGCCCAAACTCGAGTAATTAATTCAACGATGACAAACCCCTGTCATATAGAGTGCTTTGCTCGGCGTACGTCCAAAACTGCGTAACGAGAGTCAGAGCGTTAGCTGAAATTTGGCCAGCGCTCGCTGAAGAAAAGTTATCTGGTGACCGCTCGCAGATTGTATTGCTGCCCGCTGGCAAAACATGTAACATAAAGAAAGTACCACTTGCTGAAGGTTTGTCTACTTTCTAAACTCTCTGCTGGCCGCCTGCAAGAAAGCGCGAGTTTGCGGTCCGCCTGTCCCCGGCGATTATCTGAGATTATCTGAGAAAAGTATTAGAAGTTTTGATGTCACTAGGTTGGAGTGACATTGAAGCCAACTTAGTTTTGATGCGTCCTTTGAATGTTTCCCCCCCCCCCTCTCTCTCTCTCTCTCATTGACGTCCTGCTTCTTGAGACGTAGTCTGGATTGTTGCGCTCATTATTCTGTGCGGTAGTCGCCCAAGTCGGAAAGAAATTGTTGCGAAATTACTGAAAGAGAATAAGGTAAAAAAAGCGCACTTCTTACAATTTTCTGCAAAAAAAGTACCGAAGTCAAAGAAGTAACTGTGCACATTGTCTTATTATAGGTAGAATTAAGATCTATCGAAATGCACGAAGAAATCGCGTGAAAAAAGTTAATCAGGAGATCTATGAGAACACTCAAATCAAAATTTGGAATTTTGTGACGTTATCAGACCTTTTTAGAGTGAAAGTAATGATCAGAGCTTTAATATGATATACAGCTTACTGAAAGTAGGTCCAGAAGAACGAAAGAACGGTAATAGAGCCAAATACCCGTGCTCCGCGTTTGAGGTAGCGAGATAGCGAGCAAGGCGCGGAGGCGCAGGCGAGCAGAGGAGAAGAACATGACAGACATGACAGCTTGGCTCTCCTGTGGATCTCCGCCGTGTTTTGACGAAATGTTGTAACATTATGTACCGTTCTGATCGTCATGACGCAGCTAGAAATACCGATAGCGTACCAAGCGTTGAAAATCACTCCTCATTCGTGTTTCTTTAAGGTGAAATGACGATAACCCTCTTCCCATGCTGTAAGAATGCAAAGTGAGATGATTGATTGTCCGTCTTGGCGAGGTCGTCTACCTTACTCTGGTCAGTTCGCGCTCAATTCAGGCTTGCAGATAGAAGGCAAGCCATCGATGCGAATGTAAAGCTTCTTTTCAAAAGTTTTCCGAAGGCATACGGTTGGTAAAGATGTTGATTTCACATTTGCTTTTTGGCGCACTTCAGTCTGCAAAGTATTTTATTCGTCTTTGTACTCTCTTGAATACAGTGCTGGCCAAAATTATAGGTCCACTCTAAAAAATGCCATAACTCACTCTGCTGTGAATGAAATTTTCCAAAATTTGGTACAGACGTGTGTTTACCAGCCTACTATCAGTCTTCAAAACGGTTCTCGTTTTCGTTTGATTTTTCAAGAAAAAATTAGAAATTTTGAAAAAAGCAGGCTTGAAGGCTGGCCAAAATTATAGGTCCACCTGGAGTTTTTACTGATTAAAGCAATTCTTAGCTCCCAAATTTTTTTTAGATAGGCACACATCCAAAAACGTTAAACAGCTGCTTTAGTCAAGCTGTGTCATACCTCCACAAAGGACGGATTATCTGCTTTTTTGCCTTGAAGATGCTCTCACATGTACTTCGCTCCACAAGCCTGCGTTGAGTGAGAAATTTTGCAGTTTCTCAGTTGGATCGGAAGGGATGGGGTTTCATCTATCTTCTGGATGCTTTTTGACGTGAGCGTTGAGGAAAAAATCCGACTTTTTGCTGCTGAAGCAAATCTGACATTGGCAGTACTGCAATCCTGAGCTCAAATTTCTGCCTTCAAACTTCTTTTACAATGTTCTCAGAAGCATTGAGTAAAGTAAAGGCATTGTTCCTATGAAGGGGAGTCCGCATACCATAGTTACAACTTTCTAGAGATCCTAACATTCGAGTATAGTTACTGAAATCACTCTGCAGAAACTGATTAAGACAAGCACCAAAGCTACTTGTGGCTCCGACCAAAATTTTCAGAAGAATCATGTGCTAACATACACTACAACCTGTATCCACTATCTAGTAAATAATTACTGTCAAAAATCTAAGTGAGGTCACTTGGAAAGCTATTTTGGATCGCGTAACACCATTATTACGTTGCACACACAACACATGTTTAGAAAAAGAAGCAAGGCAGCTTTGTGGACACTTGTGAGTATGGCGAACAGCTTTATTCTTGTGTAAAAAATGCTTCTACAATATCTTGAGGTTATAATGACAATGCATAAAGGATTTTAGGGCAGAAACTGAGGCTTACTCTGCCGATTAAGCCGATGTCAGATTTGCTTCAGCAGCAAAAAATCGGATTTTTTCCTCAATGCTTACGTCAAAAAGCATCCAGAAGATAGATGAAACCCCGTCCCTTCCGATACAGCTGAGAAACTGCAAAATTTCTTACTCAACGCAGGTTTGTGGAGCGAAATACATGTGAGAGCATCTTCAAGGCAAAAAAGCAGATAATCCGTCCTTTGTGGAGGTATGACACAGCTTGACTAAAGCAGCTGTTTAACGTTTTTAGATGTGTGCCTACCTAAAAAAATTTGGGAGCTAAGAATTGCTTTAATCAGTAAAAACTCCAGGTGGACCTATAATTTTGGCCAGCCTTCAAGCCTGCTTTTTTCAAAATTTCTAATTTTTTCTTGAAAAATCAAACGAAAACGAGAACCGTTTTGAAGACTGATAGTAGGCTGGTAAACACACGTCTGTACCAAATTTTGGAAAATTTCATTCACAGCAGAGTGAGTTATGGCATTTTTTAGAGTGGACCTATAATTTTGGCCAGCACTGTATTTGAAAGTGTTGAAAGTTTTGATTTTGCAAGATAGTGCTTTTTTGAAATAACTACCCATAGGCAATCTTTATAGAAGAGATGCAAATTTTCGCACGGTTGATAATGGCAGTTACAAGTACGTGTCACACTTCAAGAAGCCTTTGGTAAACAGCAATAATTTCAATATGATCGCAATATATTCTCTCCGTGACTTCTTTCTTTTTTTTGTTCTTGATTCGTTCAATCTTTACTTTTTTGTAGGTTGCAAGAGTGAATCAGCCAGGTGCACTATTTGGTTGCATCAGAACATTGTTAGATAACTTACAGCAAGGCCCTTACTCTTTTTAGCCACCACGGATCTGAAATCCTTGAGATCGTTGACGACCCTTTCTACCATCTTCCATTTTATTCCATTGATCCATTATTGTCACTTGCTTCCGTCCGTTTCTGATTTCCATAAGTTAGAGTCTTCTCACATTATGACGTTTATATTCTCCTCTCTATCCCCACCATGTGACACACATCCGCCTTCTCTAAGACGCTGTACCGGAGCGAGGTTCCATACCGGTAGACAGGTGCCAAAGACCGTGAAGCTAGCTCGCAATGCATCAACCAGAAGAATCGCTCTGAGGTTTCATGCTATAATCGCTTTTTGACATTTGGCTTAATCCAGTCAGTGGGTTCATTACTGCCAAAGAACTGTCAGAGGAATAAATAAAAATCTTATAAATCCCGAAAAAAGAACAGTCAGAGGAATAAGTAAAAATCTTATAAATCTCGAAATCTTAAACAAACATCAATGCCACACGACGTTTAGTACTGCCTTGCCACCCAGCTTCAAATCTTGCCTGTGTCGTCGCTTGAAGGCACAGTCCACCCAGATTGTCGAATTTCATGTTTTGGTCGTTCCGGGGCCTTCTCGTGTCCCCGATTGCGAATATAGAGTCGAGAAACCACGACAATCCCCGTTCCGGAGGACCCGCCGGTCGGTTATCCGGAACGGTGATTGGATGGGCGCGCACAGATGGGCGGACATGGATGGGGGAGGGCGGGCATGGATGGGGGTCCTCGTCCATCTTTGCTATTCCGAAGCGAATTTCTCGCTTCCGAAGCGGCATTTTGCGTCGCGACTTGGACATTGGCTTGCTAGGGGACCCTACTATTATAGGATGCCACAAGCTCAACACCCTCAACTTAGGGTCGACGGTGCCTTTGAGATGTTCATAGATTTTTCTTTAGACGATATTGTAAGTCTGTTTCGTTCTTTTTTCAACTTCCCGTCCTACATCTTACAAGGGAATGGTCAGAAGTCGAAGTGGCCAATCCATACAAGCTGCATACCATTCGATGCAGCATAAAATGCTGATTTCAAATCTGTCTTCCATATCTGCAGAGCGCCTTTGTAGGCGAAGTTATGAGCACCTTTACTGCAAAAAAGCCTCATACAAAAATTGCAAAATTAGGCACATTATTGCTCTTTCAGCTCAACTCTACGTACGGGTCATATGAAGTGACCTAGTTGCATGTTTTGGTCCAACACTGAGCCAAGAATGGCTTTGTATGGCCAAGTTTGCGCTTTACACGCACAATTTCTTGGCAAAATACCGGCCTTTAACGGCTTATAATTTCGTCCACAAAAGCGCTCTGCAGATAAGGAAGCCGGATTTAGAGTCAGCATTTTATGCTGCATCTACTGGTATGTAGCTTGTATGGATTGGCCACTTCGACTTCTGACCATTCCCTTGTTAGATCAGAGTAAAAAGTTCAGTTTCTCTTGCCCTTTTCTCTGATCCACATTCATGGGATTACTGTAGTCAAAATCCATCGTTTAGAAAAGCATCATGACTGGAAAGTGGCTTAGCTAGCGGATCCCGAATTGGACTCACGGCCTCGCCGCGCTGCCGTAAGATTAGACTTGTTAGAAGGCCAACTAGCGCAGATAGTGTACAAAAGCGGAGAATTCGTGAAAAGTCCCGTAGGTTGTTCTTGAACTTATGGCACATGTAAGGTGACACAATACTACGGACGATAGTGCGCGACATACAAATTTTCGGGGTATGCGGTTGGAGAATTGTAACAGCTGATCATAGCCATAGAAGAAGAAAATAGTTTTCATTCACTTTTCTTGCTGGAGATACTTCAGTTTTGAGATTGCATCAGTGAATTAACTAGCAATAGTTATATCCAACTGACCAAGCCTACGCAATTGGCGATGTTCTTATGTTGAAACGCCTGTCTACAAAACGACTCGCATCTAGATCGCTGCACGTGGTACAGATTTGTGACGCCGTAAAATCAACCGTCTTTAGGCCTAAGGCATATGGGTCATTTGAAAAATCGTGACGATGGCGCGACGCGCGCAACACGCACGCACTCCCAATCCTTGATTTCTCTCTCTACTCCAATAGTTTTTCCGCTTACATATGATAGTGTTCAGGTACTGGAAGTGACTAAGCTTAGCGTTGAGGTGTTGCCTGTTTGTATGGGCGTTTTATCCTTCTGTGTGCGGAAAGACCGCAGTCAACTCGTCGTCACGATTTTAAAAATGAACCATACCTCGCGCGATTCCGGTCGCTGCGCGATTTGGCACAACAGCGGCTCTTCGTAAATCATCGTTGATGCGCTGCCTTTGGTCAGAACTTGATCCGTTTGCAACAACTTACACAAGCTACGCAAATATGCGTTCGAGGAGAATGCACGATCAATTTGTAGAGATCTGGCAAATTGCCAAATCGCGTAAAAGTGGCGCTTTGGCCGAATCGCGTGAGGTATGCCTTAGGCCTTAGGCAGCTTGGAAGCACGGAGATTTACTAAGGGCTAGAGTCACACTTTCAATTTACTGTAGATACATTCGTGTCATTGCCCACTGATAGATCACCCCTCTTGTCTCGCTCAAATTCAAAAATGATAACTGTTCAACATCAAGTCGCTCAAAGTTATGGGAAAAGTAATGACCATTTTATCTGCAATCACTCATCAGCCCGGTGACTTACGATGACCACAAACGGGAAGAAGTCTATGATAGCCATGGAGCCAAATGACAAGGTTGGCTAATAAATACCTCACGTTGAGTTCCTTCTTGTGATTCCAGATCCGTTTCGTTGGCGACCTTACACAAGAGATCAAAACGCATTTGAAGATTACTAACAAAAGTGATATGAAGCAAGCATTCAAAGTTGGTCATGTGCGATGCTGATTACATGAAAATTCGCAGCTTCGAAAAGTTTTTCAGATCAAATGTACACGCAACGATCTATTCAAGATAAGACCTGCTACTGGTATTTTGGATTACAACCAGACTTCAAATATCACTCTGACATATAAGTGAGTGTTCCTTCAGTTTCTCAAAAAATGATGTTTGCTAAATCTCGAAAAGCAGCCTCAGACAATTTTTCCGTTTGCAGAGTTTTCCGATGATTTTAGAAGTTATGTATGTTCGCTTTTGAAAGATATTTACATAAATTTACACTGACTGGCATAGAGCAAAGTACAAACAGAATTGTGCTTTATATATGCCATAGAGCCAGTGATCCTTTGGCTTCGAAGTGTGTCTAAGTTTGCACAGTTATCCATATCGTGATATGCATCAGGCCAAATGGAGAGATTCCTGAGAACGACAAGCATCATTTTGGTGTCTATCATATTCCTGCCCCTGAGGGGTGTACATGTGAGGGAGCTTGGAGCGAACATTATGGCCCTCCACAAGGAGAGTTTCGCCTAAAGGTACTTTGTTCTCATTCTTGTATCAATCAGTCAACAAAACGATAATTTTGTCCGAATTTGAACTGAAAGGAATGAATAATAGTTACCTCGCTTAGAATAGACAATCACCGAAATAATGAATTTATCGTTTTTGTGCTGACTGCAGTGTAAAGATATAGTTAAGGTTCAATTTGAAGAAGCCAAATGAAAGGCCAAACTGATGAGAGCGAATTTGAAGACGTCATCTTTACGTGACCACACATACTTGCAAAACATGCTTGATGTGTTGTTGCTTCCTATTTAACTTCAATAAATGATTCTAAAATCTTCAATTTTGCTTGTGCCGAACAGGTTTGTTATGGTAGTGTCTTTATTCGAATGGCCTAACGTTTCGGCGCGTTCGCCGTCCTCAGAGGCCTAAAAACGGCACAAAGCATCATCCACGACACCAGACCATCAAATGTCTCTTCTAGCTTAGCTAGTTTCGACCTCTTTCCTAGTTCAATCCGCAAAATCAATGCAAATTCTAAAATATTAGTTGGGAGTGCACTTGAACTATATGGATTGCAACAGGAGAAGGAACAGTTCCTTAGAACATCAAAGTGGAAGCTGTAATATGTAGATCTGAAGGCAACCCAGTTTTCGACAACCTCGCGAGGAGGCAACTAAAATGTTTATGGGAAACCTCGGTATGTTGTGGTATGCCCAACAATAAGAATTTGCAGCTACATAGATATGTATCCCTGGTTGAGAATCAACCAACGATCTTATCTCTATGGTCTACATCTCGCGTAGTTCTGAGCCAGAGAATGAACTCATTTCAATAAAAATCAGCTCCTCTACTGTGTTGTACTCCGGTGATCTTCAGAAAACCTCTTTTGACGTCGCTCAAAAGTCTAAAAGTGGCAGAATGCTTGCTCAAAAAGGCTGAATGCTTTTCAATGTACTTTTCGAGCTATAACCAAGACTGGCAACAATTCTTCATTGGCTTACATCAAGAAATTGTTGAGTGGTTTTCATATAGTGGCTTCATGTAATTGAAGTAATTCATTGATGTTGTTTCTAGATGCGAGCGGATAACAGCATTACTGCAAAAGTCTACGTGCATTGAGTTTCCGATGACTGCTTTAGATATCGCTAAAGACTTCCGAGACTGACCTAATTGACGGATTAGATAGTACGTTGAGTGGTCCGAGCTGAAAAAAAAATTTTGTGCGATCACTTCATAGAAATGTGGCCAGAGTGATGTTTTAGCCATTGTTGTCGAAAAAATAGGCCACAGCTCCTGGAAGTTCCTTGATCCTACAAAGGAAATAAACTGTATATAGGATGAGCTGGCATTGTTGAAAGCGGAAAGAGTGATTGCAGAAACAAATATTTTACACCTATCTTTAGTGATGATTTCTAGAAAACATTACTTTTCTCCAGAAATAAATACGTTCAGTTAGATTGGTTCTGGATTTTTCACGCCCTCACTTAAACGGGCTTTTTCCTCCTTTGTTTTTCTAAAATTTTCTTACATCCGCTTTACAAATTACATCCCGACATCAACAGAAGAGTCGCAAGTAACAGTTTCTGTTTTGCTCCTGGCTCTCTTGATAAAAAATACGCAGATACTCGAGAAGAATAAAATTTATGAGCTTGAAATGACAATAAATAGATATATTGTATAGGAGGTAGAGCTAAGATAACAGAAAGTGTTAATAGAATACTGCTTCATTCAAAAATAATTCTCCTTTTAGAACTGTTACCGATTGCCCGAATAAGGCCAATCTATTTGCATCCCTCACTTCAACCCTGAACTGCGCACCACGGCTGGGATATAACTGATAAGCTAAAAAAAAGCTTGTTTAACGGCAGTACCAAAAAAACACAGTATAATTCTATGATTGAATTGACCTACCGTATAAATTGCGCTTTCCCAAAATGGGCGACCAAAAAGGAGCGAGTGCACATTGAGCGGAGCCTGTAGCTGGATCTTCAGTAATGCCGACCCAAGGAGCAAAATAACGGCATATGTAGTCATACGGTTCATCTTGAGAGTCTGTGAAGCCCTAAATGTTAAGCACATTATCAGTGAGAAATTACGTGTGAATTGATGAAAGTAGGTGAATCAAAATAAACTTGGTTTAGCTACTCCGTAGTAAATGAAAAGAAAAGCATTTGGTAATATCGTATTACAAAAATCGCCCGCTTACAAGCTCAAATAACTGTGGATGCTCAAACGGTTTCAGATTTTCTTCCACATATGTGATCTCCAATAGCTTTTTGAAAAGCTTTCGCCTTGCTTTGAGCACCACGTTGTCGACTTAGCTTCTTTAGATTTGCAATATGGAATGAAACACCAATCGCTCTTCATTATTAGGATTAAGACTTTCGAGAGCGTCATTCTGGATTAGACGCTTTGAGAAAACCAAAAAAAAATCCAAAAAGTTGTGTTTCAGGGCTGCGGGCCCTGGTTTCATTACCCTGATTTCACGTGTATAAGGCGCATTGTTTTCGAATTTTCAAGCGAGCCGCTCAGCCGCTTCACTCTATTCCGGAAAGAAATCCTTACATCGCACGATTCTCTCAAGCAATATACAGCACATTTTGGGGTCCTTTGGTTGTAAAGTTCTTTGGCTTGTCTGGGCTGGTCAATTTTTGGAAAAAATCCCCCGCGCTCTATACGCGTGAAATTAGGGTACTTATTGTTAGTTTTTCACGAGTTTCTAAAGCTTTTCAAAAAGTGCAGTCACAATTTTGAAGAGCATTGCAAAAGCAGTTATCGCAGTCTGCTTGGCATAATTTATCAACGAAAGCATTGAGGTGAGGGCAGACCTAGTGTAAGCGGTTTTGCTTAGCTTAATGTAAAAGTTTTCAGGTTGTTCGGTTTGCTTTTTGAAGCGTTTATCAATCTGAAGTCATTGATCAAAAAAATACTTTTACAACGGTTCCGTCGCTTCAAGGGCCGGGCATACTTCACGCGATTTGGCAACATTCCAACTGTCCACAACTCGTTGTAAGTACATCTCAAATGTACAATAGGGCATTCCATCAATTTACGTAAGCTATACACGCCATGCATGTGCAGTTCGCTAGTGTTGGATGTGAAGACTTCTGGCGAATTGCCAGATCGAGTGGCGACTGAAATCGCGTGAAGTATGCCCGGCCCTTTACTACAACCCAACCATGCCATTTGTATTCGCAATCTGTACATGATAAAAGCTCAAAAACTGTCTAGAAAAGTAACCTGAGCTTCTGCTTTAGCTGGAGCAAGAGTGACGATGACGCCACGCACAAAATTTCCATCAGGATCCAATGCCCTCATTTTCTCAGACTTTGCGGTGCTAATCTCAGCAAGTTCAAGGCTGAAATTTTTATTAGCTGTTGGCTGTTCTGGAACTTTGTCGGTTACTATAAGAAAGAAGAAAAGGGGACATTAGCCCTATAGCTTGTTTAAAAAAACTCACTTTGTGGTGTGTTTGTCAACCACTATAATTACTTTCTTGGCTTCGCTAGCATACGCAACACCCCTGACACTGATTGTTGAAGGAATAAGGCATTCAATCAAGTGATGAAGAAACGATGGAGCATCGAACTATAAACAATTATACCGTTTTTATTAATCGCATTGTTAGTGAGCATTACTTCCGAGAAATATTTAACGAGAACATTCGGCACGCCCAAGAAGTGTACGGTTGTTATGCCAAATTGTGGAAAATCCATCTCAACAAGTCCCCCGTCTTTCTTTCGCACTTTAAGATTGCCGGACCGTGTGGCAAAGGTGATTTGGTTTGACTGGTTTCCTTAAACAAAATTAGTATATCTTTTCGCCTCAAGGAATAAATTCCTTGTAAATCTCCAAATTGCAAATTTAAATATTCGAGGCGATGCTGTCCAGGAGTGCGGTGGCAGTCAAAAATTCAAAAAAATGTTGTAGACTTACGCACAACTATGCAGCCATTGGCTGATCACTGCTAGTAAAACATTAGATTGACTAAAATATTTTCGGAGCTTTCTGCGGCTCTCAAAAATGTAGCAACAAGTTTTGTTCAGTATTTCATATCCACTCCAGTGTGGGTTGGGATGTTGATACTGTTTGAACAGAACCATTTTCCCTAAGGAAAAAACGCGCAAAGAAGTAAAAAACCCCAGTTTTCCTATAGTGCACAAATGTGAGAAAATTCTATTTCTTCAATCAAAGAAATCCAGAATGGCAGATCACAAATTTTATTGTTATTCAATAGGCAAAACATGAATGTATCCAAATTACAAATTACACATCTCTTTACACATTATTACATGAAAAAGAAACGAGACCAAAAAAAGTTTCTGAAAAATGGATCAGGCATAACTGTCTCTTGCTAATAGTGGAAGACTGAATTGATATGTGAAAGTAAAAGCACTGGACTGCTTTTCTTCAAAAACCCATGGATGAAACATCGAGAAAAAAGCATATGGAGAGAATAACGGAAAGGATCTGCATGGAATAACGAGATTATTTGTGAGTCAACTTTATACTAAGACTGTCCACATTATAGCGCATTTTTGCAAGTTGTTATTGCTGACGGCATTCTTTGGATGTTCGTCTTTTCGTGAATTCTAGAAGTTTACCAGTTTCTAAGTATTGCACTAGAATTAAATCTGCATTAAATATCTTAAAATCCGTTTTGCTCGGTGAACGTTTTTGTGGTTCATACAGTTAGTTTCATTGTACATACTTTTCGAAATTCAAAACTTATATAACAATTCAGAGTACACAACTATTCTCAGGAATGTTGGCACAGCACATGAATTTGGAAATTTTCGTAGATAAACAAAACATTGCTTTTATGTGAAATTTGTATCGCAGCGATGTATCGCGCATCCCCCAGAATTGTTTCCATATGAACCATGAACATGGATGCCTTTTGATCGTTTCACACGTTAGATAACTCCAGCAAATTCAAAACACTTATTCGAAGCTGGCATGTTAGAGTGATCGAAAGGCAGCCAGTTGATAGTTCATATGGGAACAATTCTGTGGGATGCACCATAGATTGATAATTCATTGTTCCAATACTAATGTGTGACTGCTACGGAAATATTGTTCATACAAAACGATTCGAAGTCTCGAAAATCAGGAGACTAACCTACTTCGTTGAACAAAACGTGGCTTGTCGCTAGGGTAGCGTGTCCACATAAAGGGACTTCGGTGGTGGGAGTGAACCACCGCAGCGTAAATTTGTTCGCTGAAACAAGTTTGCTTACCATATACACAAAAACGACAAGATCAGTACAGTACAAGGTGATTAAGCTCCTAAAGAGCTTCCAGCTAAATTCTGCAAGAGGAAGGATGGTATAAAATTAAATTTTCATTAGATCACTCACCAGTTTTGTAGTCACCACCGACTGGAATAGGGAATGCCGTCTCAGATAAATTGAATTCCGCGGCGATGCTCAAATATTCGTCATCTCTCAGTTCCTCAAAGAATTTCATCAAAGCACAAATCAAGCAAGAGTGGGTACTTTTCCGTTATCCGGACCCATTTTCAAAGAAGGATATTGCTTCTTCCTTCGTACCATATTTGCTCCCAACTTCACAGGAAAGAGTGCCAAACTTCCTGCCACGTGTCAAAAAAAATTTGACATGCCATTTACATCTTTGACAGGTTTAACCAAGAGTTTGAGTTGCCCTACCTAGCGACGTAAGATGTTCAGTCTATCTTTTAGTCAATAGTGGTCCTATTTTCGATTGAACAGTATCAAAAAATGGATATTATTACTATAATAACGTCATTTTGTTATTAATAAACAGATTAGACTTGCCCAGAATAGAGAAGTGAGCTTGAGTCCCACCATCAAAGTGACCGAACAAGCAGCAGAAAGGAACTTCAAGCCATCATTTATAGTCTCGTCTAAATCCCCAAGACGAAAGGTTTGAAGAGGAAGATAATGCTAAATCATTGCTGAAAACGATGAAGATGTTCTAATATAAGTCCTAGATTGTTTTGCTTTTATAGAAAACAACTGAACAGCTTTTAAGTGATTACAAATGCTCCTTTACCTCACCGGAAATGATTTTGAAAAAAACATGTCAAAATGGACCAAAACGTGTCAATATTTTCCTGACACGTGGCAGGGGGCAGCCCTCGTGGAATCTATAAAAAATTGTTATAGACTAAAAACGTATTTAATGAGAGCCTTTTGAAAAAAATGGGTCCGGATAACAGAAAAGTACCCAAAAATGTTATGAACAGATTACCCTTTCAATCAAACAAACAGCGGCTTGGTTTCCGGCAAATCGGTGACTTGTGAAGGCGTCGACTATATAAGTTGGATGTTTCTCATCCATATTAGGCTGAAACTATCTCAAATGGTGGAAAGGCAATGATTTCGATATGTACCCCCTTTAACTACCATGACGTTATTTTTCATTTCCTGTAAAACTTTTGAGATCCGAACTCAAAGAATAGCTAGACATTCCATTCGGCTGGCAACGCGGGATCTTTTAGGATTTCCAAAGTGCCAGATACAAAACTTTGAACAAACAACCACTTAAACCCAAATTGTAGAGGACCCTGCTCGGAAGTTGCGAGATTGAAAGTCCTATTTATTTCCATACTTGTGAATGCTGATATTTCTCATCTTATAGGCTGACTCCAACATAACTGAGTGCAGTGACCACCAGTGACCACCTGGTCACCACCAGTGACCAGTGTTGGTAGGGAACGATTACGGTAGTAGTATCAGGCATTTGTATGTGTTTATTGTTGAGTGAGGAAAGCTCTGTTTGAGTCCATTTCGTAGCATGGATCCCTAATATCGCCTTTCAGTGTGCCCTGGTACGCAAGTAACAAAAGTTCTGTATTACTGCATACCTACGTTCCCCTTACCCAAAAGTGCACCTATTCTTTGACTATCAGTAGATAGTTATTTTGATTCGTAGTAACCTGTTAGTTTTGATATGTTAGGTTGGTGCATAAGCCTTGAGCCGAAAGTGTAAGAAAATTTTCCTAAAAGGTTTGGGTCAACGTCAATTTGTACTATATATTTTTAGTTACTTACGACGAGAGCTCTAATTTACACGCATTTTAGAGATTCTATTCGGAACAAACTCCGAATGTCGCATTATGAAAGTTGAAAACCATAATTATCAATAGCAAATCCGACTAGCACAAATGCGCATTCAAAGGCAGCGTCCGGGCAAAATTTCGCCTCTCATGTTTCTGCCATTCTGGGGCCTTCCCGTGGCCCTGAATACAGTTGTAAAGTCCAAATTGTTCAACACCCCCAAAAAACCCGATTCTTGGGGACCCTCTCTTCAAGAAGCGGACGAGTTTCGGATTGCTCGTCCCCATCGCATGCCAGCGGGAGGAGCTGCAACTGCACGGATGCCGTTGCATTGCAGTATGCAGTGCAACTGCAATGCAACTGCAATGCAACCGCACACCTACGTGAGCACTCGTCCTCAGCGGTGGTTTGTGATACGAAGGGACAGTCTGTGATACGTATCACAGGCCCGTATTTCCTTTTAGAGGCCACTTCAAAGATTCGGACTAACGCAGATCGGATACTCATGGGCCCCTCTTTACAACCATATGCTAACCTGGGTGGATGGATCTTGCCCGGACGCTGCCTTTCAAAGAGGGGTCGAGAAACTATAAACTGGAAACTTAAGATCCTTGAAAATTTTCTTTGCTAAACTTATAAGCCTATCTAATGTAGAGGATTTCACAAAATGTGTTCACTTATTGATATCTTACTTCCACAAATTCTTTCACCGAGATTTACCTTGGATCAGCAACAAAGATATGATTCACAGAAGGGCGAATCGCAAATTTGTTATTGCATTTTGGTTATTTATAGAACTGCACAACGACTCCACCACATCCGATAGACCGGAGCAAGAAGATCAAAGCAAATGGATTGAAATAAGATCCTTTTCACGGTAAGCACTTGAAGTGTTTCACCGTTCTTATGAGACCTTGCGCACTTTTGCCAGCAATGGATCGAAGGACATTTGAAAAGAAATATTCGCCTATTATCAATGAATAGTTTTGGAGAGAGATGCATGTACTGAAGAGCAAATGAATCAAATAAAGACTAGAAACTTCCTTTTAATTGATTTTTATGATTGAAATTTGAGGTCGCTCTTGTTTGTCATGTTGTCAAGGTTATACAGGAAATTGATGAAAATATATGAAAAATTTGTCGTTTGAGAATCTATCCACTATAAAATCTGAGTTGCAGAATTTGAGGGTACTCCAGAATATAAGAAGTACGCAAAGCAAATATAATCAAAAACGAAGAGACTGATAACTAGCCTAGCATAGAAGGTCTATAAGTTAGAAAATTCGCCAAAAATATGGAAAACTATGTCATCTATTTCTAACTTGAGAACACATGAATAAAACAAAAACTAATGAAAAACATGTCAGAAGTTTTTTTTTGCTTTGTGCTAATTTCTATCTGCGATTTTTTTCACAGCAAGAAGAACGATTGCGGTTTGCAAAATGCGATCAAATTGGGAAACATGGAGACATGAGGCTTGCGACATTGATGAAAGGGGTAGATAGCAGGCAAGGTCACCACAGATTAACAACCTGTTTTTGTATGAGACTAGGCGTAACCTGCCCAAAGTCAGTACATATCATGATATACTACCAATACAGCGAAACACGAAACAAGGTTAACCGGGAAGTAATGGGCATCCTATTGTCTTGATATCCAAGTCGGTCCGTATTTAGACATATCCTCAAATCAGAAAAATGATAGACAAACGTAAACAGTGTTCAATGCAGAATTCCTTCCTCTTTTCAAATGTGATATTTTTGTTCCGAATCCTCCATGTCAAAATAGTCGTCAAAATCTCCAACTCATGGCTTTTGCCCACCTTAATTTCAGCTGTTCTTCAGAATAAATATTTCGGGCTGTTAAAAGAATCTTGTAGGTTGGAATCAACAAACTGCACTACAAACCTTTTTTGTTATCTACAGCAGGCCTGTCAAGATTTTTGAGATTTTCAATGCTACCAAAAGTAAATGCTACCAAAGTCTATGGGCATCCCAATCCTAACAGAACATCGCAACCAACTACGATATCATTAGAACAGCTTTGCGACTTTTTCCTAGTAAAGTTGTCGGATAACCTCTCTTACAATTTTTTTCTTAAAAATCTCAGAAGTTTGCGAAGGATGTGTTGATGTGAGAAGGGTCAAAAGGCCTATTCGTTACAGTCGCATCAGCTATCCGTGCTCAGAACATCTACCGCGGCTGAAAATCCGTGTTGTTTCCAATTTTTGTAAATCAGTTGGCATTCTTTCAGGTGATGAGCGAGAGACTAAACAATGTGGTAATCAGGTAGGGCATAGTGTATAGCCTTCAGCAAATATAAAGAGGTAAGACAGGTTTACGCAAGTTTTTCTAAGCGGTCCAAGTGTTCAGTGTGCGCCATCTTTGCAACTCGACATTCAAACAAAGCATCTTCAAAAAAAATTTGATAAAAATCATTTTGAAGCTTTCTGTATTTATTTCTACGCGACAACATGAAAAGAAGAGCTTAGGGAATTTTTCAAATTTTGTTGACATTTTTTTCATCCCTTGCTTCTGAAACGTTAAAGGCGTCAGAAGGCCCCATATTAGAGACAACGCCAAAGTATGTCCTAATGTAAAAGAGGAAAAGCACAAGTAGGTGCAGAGAAAAATCGGACAGAAATGGAGAAGCTGAGCGCTTTCACAAAATTGCCGCACACTTGTTGGTTATTAGTGCACTTGCGGCTCTTGCTGGTGGATAGACACTGCTATGTCCTAGGTGTGTCGCGAATCTGGGGTTTTCTAGGAAGCTTTTAAAGTTTGGATAAAGCTTTTCTAGGTAAAAATAGAAAAAAGGAGTAAAGAAATTATCCGACAACCTAATGGCTTGCTTTTTATTCTGATTCGTAAACGATTGGGCACAAAGTCATTTCAGTCATCATTCTGACGCTCTTAGGCTGCACAAAGAATTAAGATTTGATGTTTCAAAGCAGTGAACGCTTAATGGTAAAATTCGTGTTCCATTAAGATTGATTTTTGAAAGTTGTATAGTACATGGCGAGAACTGATTGATGTTTGAGGCGTTTAAGTAATTTACGACTTTTCAAAAGTGAAGAAATTGGAAGAAATTACATTGAAAATTACTGAAAAGCATGTTTAAAGCGCAAATAATCCTTTATGCAGTTTGTTCACTCTACCCCACTATATAAAAGCCTCAAAATTCTGAAACCATTTTCAAGAATAGCTAAAAGAATAGGTAAAAACGGGATGCAGATTCTGACGATCACATTATTTGAGCGACTATCAAAGGACTAAGGTTGCGAACATCACAAAAAAGAAAGAAAATTTCATCCAACACCGTTAAGAGCGCTCGTCTATCGTTATTCTGAGTGATGTGAGGATAGGTCTGAAAACGGCACAAACTTTGGACCCATTAGATATTGATGAAAATTCATTGAAAGATCTGGGACAGCACTTTGTTCCAACCTGGTACTGCTGTCTCGGCTTTGAAAAACGATCGTAACTTTCCACATCAGTGACCTCTCCGTTACCTTCTCATTTCCTCCCTAGAATTCCTGACTCAGTTTGATGGGGTTGATAGCATTTTTGAAGGCCTCGAAAATTTTTAGCCCCTACAGTAGTCTACATCCTAGTCTAGCTAGTCCACAAACGGTAATTTATTCGAAAGCACTTTTGCGCTTTCTATACATTTACAAAAGTCAATACTTTTTGAAATAGCGTCTGCAGAGCACCTTGGTTACATGTAGCTCGATTCACGGATATGAAGAGATTAGGGACTCCTACTAAGGCCCCGGACAGACTTACGCGATTTGATCGTCGCGACTGAATCGCGACGAGACAACTGTTATTCCATCCGATCAACTTGCATTTCGGTTGTGATACTTTTCCAGCCCGAAATTTTTGACTGTGAAATGAAAATGAAAGGAAATGTCGGCGATTCAGTCGCAACGATCAAATCACGTGAAGTCTGCCCGGGGCCTAACAACAGATGCTGCATACTCAGACATTCGCCATTGACTCCCGCAGGAGATCCGCCCACAGGGTGGAGGACTATATGTCGCCGAAAAAGGGCGGACCCCGCGGTCATTTGCGACAAATACGCACCCTTGTACATGCGCGGACATGCGTTCCTGCAGGGAATCTGTGCGGGACTCTTCCAAATTCGGCGACATATAGTCCTCCACCCCCGCCCACAAAATAGGTGATCGCACCAAAATCCGGTGTACCGGCGGAAGTCATCATTTTAGTTTTATCCCGATTTTGTTGCGATTTTGTCCCGAAGCGCGGGCGCATGTTTGAACGAGTACAACTTC